TCTAGTTTGAAGTGAATATATCTGCACCTTCCTTGTTGTTCGGAGTTTGATTCTTTATGATTTTTGCACTTATTGTAAGTCGCTTTGGATAAAAGTGTCAGCTAAATGATATGTAATGTGATAAATACACTTATTAAACCCATAAGGACAATTGTTCTGGACTCCCTCCTGCATGTTCCTTCCACAGAAGATCAAAATCATACTACATAGCACACGATAAAGACATTCCAACATCCACATATCCACAGACTCACCAACTGGAAATGGTGATCTCTAGCACATCTGAGGTGACTTTTGCCACTCAAGGGATTGGCTAAACTGGGAAATCTATTTTGGACGTGTGTAATCTCCATTCACAATAACGTTTTTACAGTGGCGAACCGTGTCTATCACAACCTTCTGTAGACACACACACCCCCCGCCATCGCCCCCTCCGCGGCATTATAATGTCCGTCTTTTCACTGAATTGTCGTCTTGAAAAGGGTACTCACAACAATTCCGCAACAACTTCATCTTCACCTGTTTCACTTGTCATTTCAACATTATAAATAATAAAACGGCATGAATTGCTTCGTCGCATTCATCCAGATCCTCTGTCTCGAGCCAGTTAACTAGCGGGCCTTCTAGAATACCCTGGAACCGAGGGAAACTCTGAAAGAACACGCCCATTAGCTACAAATCAATATATGATTGGTTGATCAAACTGTCAGTCCAAACGTACGCTCTCATTCAGTGCAACGGCCAGGGCATTCGATCAAGGATGTAGAATACCTTGTTGAAGGATATTCTACCCAGAGACCCAGAACAAGATCTGATTGGTTGCTTTCTTTTCTAACACAAAACCACTGAAATGCGTAGAGCATGGTCCGAGAAGGACAAACAAATCAACGTAACACTAATATTACAGATCAACAACACTGATACGATTCTCATTTATTCATTTTATATACATTTTATTTATATAATTAAACCTGACGGTTTGCGTTTTTAGCTGTCAATACCATTTTATTTCCAAAGAAAGCCAGTGTGTGCACGGTACCCGTAAAACTTTTTTACAACTATTATAACAAATCATTAAAAACCAAGATAAGCAAATTAAGCCAAAGATAAGCAATCAATGCATGTTCTTCTGGCTTTATCAGAGAAAAAGCTCAGATTAAACGTTTTATGCAACATTTTGATTGGAAGATCAGCAGCAAACATCAGGAAGCAGAACACTTTTGAGCATTTGTAGCTTATTTCTAAACACAACACCTCCTGATTCTGGTCAAATATAGTTCAAAATAAGTTTTCCCAGCTAATTACAAGATCTGATTTATCTAATTATCCAATCTTACTTCATGAAATCTTACCAAGTGAATTGGCAGATTTATTTTAATACTTTGCATTACCATTTTACAATATTATAACACATCATTAAAAACCAAGCTTTGGTCAAAATAACTGTTAACTATTGGATCAGAGTAGGAAACAACAAGTCTTTCCTCGATGTTGTTTTGATATTTTTGTCCTAACGCAGCGTCCACACGGCGGCGTGCGTTGAAGCTTGCCGGTGGGCGTGTCTGAAACTAGGCCAACAACCAATCACATGAATCTCCCGCCCCGGACACACAAGCACACGGTTTGATTTGCTAGAGCTTGTACTGGCATATGATTTGATTGGCTGACGCTTCCGTCGAAGCTTCAAAAGTTGAACATTGCTCAACTTTTGAAGCGAGCAAAGCGAAGCGAAGGAACCACAATGCAGTTCGGCAAAGCGTGACGTCACCCCATTCAAAGTGAATGGGCAGAAGCGTTGAAGCTTCAACGCACGCCGCCGTGTGGACGGGCCGTAAGAGCTCAAGTGGCGAATTATGTTAGAAAAATAAATAATAATTGCCAGAACATGTTGTGCACACAGTGAAGGGCTGTACCTGGTTAAATATGTCTAAAACATCCATGTGTGTGGGGAGCCATTTTACCCTTTAAGTAGGTACTCCGCAACAGGAAGCTGTGTGTTTTATTCATGTGTTCCGTAAACCCTCAGATAAATGTTCAGAGAAAACTGACTGTTTTGACACACACACACACACACACACACACACACACACACACACACACACACACACACACACACACACACACACACACACACACACACACACACACACACACACACACACACACACACACACACACACACACACACACACACACACACACACACACACACACACACACACACACACACACACACATATCCAACAGTGTGTGTGTTCTCGTAGAATAAAGGGGACAAACTAAAACCGCAGACGTCTCGTTTCAGAACAAAACTCCTGCATCCATCTGTAAACTGCAATCAGCTTTTTCTTCGCGCTACAAGAATAATAATGGCCCATTAGCAGCCCGACAGTGACACAGTGAAAAAGCCACTCCATGGTTTTTTACAAAATAACACGACTGCTGGCTTTCAGGGAACCTATTAGCCTGCGGGAGAACATGCATCTAACAGCATTTCTCTCTGAAACAGTGTGGGGATTTAGAGCCACAATGAAAATATAACTGCATGTTCGAGCATCTTGTTTAGATGTAAAATAAAGTGAGTCCGTGTGTAATACTGATGTCTTGGGGGGGATATAAAAACTTGAGGCAATCATGTTTTATTTTCCTTTAAACTTGTATTAATTAAACGTTCTCAAAGTCATTTTTTGGTTGAGTGAGTTTCATGACCTCTCAGGGCTTTTTAAAACCTGACCACTTCCCCTTTGTACAGTTTCAAATATGCCTACGTGTCAAAGTGAGTACAAGACATACATTTGATTATTTCTGAATATGTCATTTTATTCAAATCTGTGTCTCTACAGTACATGTGGGATGTTTTCTTCTTCAGCATCAGTGGCATATTACACCACTGCAATACAAAGTAAGGACTTGTTGAGACACTTCTTCTACCAAAGCTCTGCATCAAGCTCCAAACTTGACCTAAAAAGAAGATACATGAATTATATACTCTTTAAGTACTGCAGCTAGGTAGTAAAACAGATCAACAGTCAAATGTGCATCTTACACAAAGGCTAAGGGCAGGAATTTCTGGATATCTAAAGAAAAAGACTGGAACATTTTGAGATCTTTGGGTTTATTGGAATACAACCAGAACATATATTAGCACCAGGCCAATGTGCAGGCGTTGGATAAAGGGTTTTATGGCCTCTTGCCAGGTGTTTTCGTCTAATTTCTACTCAGAATATGTCTTAACACTTGATATAAGACCTGATCACTTAAGAAGAAACAAGGCAGTGCTACAAAGGGTCTTGTTTTTAGACAAAGACTCTTAAAAACACCTCACTTTTGAGAATTTGTGGCTTATTACTTAAAGGTCCCATGTCATGGCCATTTCTACTGATCATATTTCCATTGTTGAGGTCTACTAGAATAGATTTATATTGTTCAATGTTTCAAACTCACATTGGTTTCTCACAGCATCTCTGTATAGTATGTGTATTCACTCTCTGTCCTAAACGGCTTGTTGGAGCTCCTGCCCCCCCCCCTCCCTGTGAGCCCAGTGTGCACTGATTGGTCGGGATGTTGCGAGGCTCGCTGCTCAGTGAGCTGGCTTACTGGTGTGGTTTCCGGGTCGGCGATACAGCGAGACAGCGCAAAACTCATCCTGAGCACACAAACACTCACAGCCGAAGTAAAAACAATAAGTGTGGCTTGATATTGAGAAAGACAAAGGTTTCTAACGCTGTGAGAATGGGTCTGCGGAGAGCATTTCTCCGCCATCCCAACTCGTCTGTTACCAGCGTTCAGGGAGCTCTATGCAAGTCAATGGGACTCCCTGTTAGTTGAACATTTACGCTAAAGGTCCTGGTGGGAATGGAAAAAGAGAAATGTCCAAGGAGGCGTTCTGGAGCAGCACAGACAGGTCTTCTCTGTGTTAGAGTTGTACTCGCTACAGGGTGCACTTTGAGGGTTTTGACTGCAGACCGTTTACATGCAGAAAAACCTTCATAACACAAGGGGACGGGTGATAACCAGAAAAGCATGACATGGGCCCTTTAACACAGCATCTCCTGATTCTGGTCAAATATAGTTCCCAGCTGATTACAAGATGATTTATCTAAATATCCAATCTTAACAAGCACATTTTCACTTTTTCTATTAGCAGATTTGTTTTACTTATGACAAGCGAGAACAGCTTGTTTTCATTATTCTTGTACTTATATATGTTGAGGAGAAATAAAAGCAATAATAGATTTTAACTGGTCGAAGACAAGCACAGCTCATAGTATATTTGTGTAGGTTTATAGAGCCTATGAATATTGCCTTTTCACACTAGATATTGTGAATGGGGGAAATACTTTTTTATACTTTGGTTGTCTGAGCGGCGCCATTCGGTCAGGTGACAACGTTTTGATCTCACAGAGTAGAGAACTCTTGCAGGTAAAAAGCGACCAATTTGTACGTGACTACGATATTGCATTTTGCTGAAGTTGTACCTTGTAAGATTTCATGTGATAAATAAAATTGATTGAATGAATTTGTAGACTGATTTCAAAACCTAATTCTGTTCGTATCACTTAGAAATGCTTTTAAATGTCCTTCTTTCGTGTAACGTCAGAGGTCCAACTCGGTGTCGTGTAGCCATGCCCGCATCTCTGGTCCTACGTCGAAGAGGCTGGCTTCCGAGGGTGGTCATGCTTTTAAATGTCCTTGCAGGATTCTTGCTATCTTTACTTCATGGTTATTTATTTTATATTATAAACTATTGAAGGAGAGGAGGAGGAGTTCCTGAAAACTTCCACCACATGAGTTTGGATGAAATATTATGGATATGTTAAAATACGAGCTGCAGGATGGTGTTTTCTATCACCTGACGTCGGAGGGATTTAAAATGCAGCCGGTGTTCGGTGCTTATAAACCAGAGCAGCTGTTTCTCCGGGCACAGATGGTGCGAATGATTGTGTACAATTACATCCAAAGCACACGTTTTATGTAAGAAAAAAGACACAACTCACTAATCAGGATTGCATCACGATACTGCATCGACAATTAGACTTTATTCACAATTTGTTTACACCAATAGAACAAAATATCTTCTGTTTTTTTTCTTTTTTGTTGGTTTATGTACAGAGTGTTAATGCAACAGACCATCTATTGATACTTGATGGAGAGTGAAAGAGACAGAGAAGCATGGGGAAAATGACATTTTGAGCAACCCTTGTTTTAACATTTGACTCTTTAAAAATGTCTGTTAGAATCAGATAATTTCAATTCTTCCAAGCAGTTTCACGTATTTCCACATTTTTACGAGTGACATTATTGTATCTTTCAAAAGGCAGAAGCATTAAGATACTCTTCTACATCAAACAAGCTCTTACAGAACATTTCCTGCAGCATGTTTTCAAATTTGTGGTGAAAAATGGATCAGATTCCAACAACATGACACCAGCTTGCTGCAGTATTACATCACATCCATACTGCAGCAGCTTGTCAACTCCCTTTACCCATCATCTGCTCAGTTAAGACCTTGGCTTTGGCAATTTAAGATCCTCGGAGCCTCTGGGAGCAATACACAGTCACCATTTGTTTGTCTGCTAAGATCTCCTTGAGGCCTCGGGAAAATACAGCACAGCCATCTGCTGATAAATAACCATGCGCTAAAGCGTCGTATTATTAGTGATTTAAAATAAGACCGGACAGGGAGATTTGGGGGTACAGGACAGGGGCGGACTGGGACTACAAATCAGCCCGGCCCACTTCGGTACTGCTGAGTAACTACCGCTAGTAAATTGTCAACGGGGGGAGGGAGGGTGCTAGTGACTTCTCCGACCGGCCCACATCGTCCGACAGGCCCATCGGGATTTGTCCCGAACATCCCGATGGCCAGTCCGCCCCTGGTAAAGGATCATTAAAACTGCTCATACAATGAATTGAAAGTATTGGAATGAAGTTGATTTTACACAAACTAAAAGCTGTTTTATGTATCTTAAGATAATGGATGTTACAGCAAGTTGTTTTGGGGGAAACAAGCTGATGAGTGTCACAGAAAAACAATAGTTATAGCTACTAAACATGTACAAATCATCCATTAATGCTACATAGAAGAACTGCTGTTCAGAAGCAAGACTATTTGATTTAACCTTGAAAGACTGCACGGAAACACTTGCTTTTATAATGGCCTCTTCCCTGTGTTCATTTATGTTTTATTTAGTACATAAGATCACTGCCGTTTAACAAGAAAGTAACTTCCTGCCCAGAGATAACCAAACAATGCATGTCATGCCAAAGCCATTTTAAAATTAAGCGTTGCCAACTAGCCGAGTTTCCACGAGGCTAAACGTGTTTTTTATTAAGGCAGACATGAGTGTGACTTCAGTGACAAGCCGATTCAGGTTGGAGAAACTATATTGCTACTTGGATAATGAGAATCAAACATTAAAGAATAATCTGTTATCCCAGCTCACATCCAGTCCCAAGATCTTCCTCACGATAAAAGGACGATTGAAGATGGAGTCACAAACTTTGGAAACACCCAATAGACAGTTTTTTTCATTACCGTTAAGAAAGAGAAATCTGATCTAAGATCACAGATGAGTTGCATTTTGACTTTGAACATATCAGAAAGCATAGCTCTAAAAACACAAATACGATTCTGTGATACAAACACACGCAAACCAAATAGCAATTAACCAGAAAACTATGATAAATATACCACGGAAACATTTGTATCCATCTATGAAAATATGTCTAAATGTCACTTTGGAAAAACAGGCTGTTTGGATCATTACAACAGAAGGAAGGTCTATTTTCAGGATTCAAAGGATTCCTGGCACGATGTTTAATGGGATGCAAGAAGAGAGGGGGGGGGATGTGGGAGGAGGGAAGGTCAAAGGAGAGGAGACAAGAGGAGGAAATGAGGAAAGTTAGGGTAGGACAGGACATTGGGAGAAAGACGACAGAAGGGAAAGGAGAAAAGTTGGGGATGTTAGGAGGAAACAAGGACTAAAGAAGATTGGAAAAACTGGGATAGGAAAAAGGAAACGAGGGGAGGATGAGTTGGAAAGAAGAGGAGGTAAAAGGTTAGGAGACGAGAAGGGACATTAGGAAAGTTAGGCTAGGAAAGGAGGACACATTGGGAGAAAGACGACAGAAGGGAAAGGAGACACGTTGGGGAGATATGGAGGAAACAAGGAAGTATTTGGACCAAAGGACTAAAGGAGATTGGGAAAACTGGGTTGGGAAAAGGAAAGGAGGCGAGGATGAGGTAACAGGGTAGGAGACGAGAGGAGAAAACTAGGAAACATAAGGAGACATTTATAATAATAAAAAGGCAAAAGGGAAAGGAGGAATGTTGAGAAGGAAAGCAAAGGAAGATAAGGTGTTTGGAAAAAGTGGGATGGGAAAAGGAAAAGGAGGATAGGGTTGGAAAGAGGAGGAGTTAATACAAGAGGAGACAAGGTGAGAAGGAAGCAAGAGGAAAAAATGAGGAGAAAGGAGAAGATGGAAACAGGAAGTTGAGGCGATGGGAAGAGGACATCTTGGGAAAGTCCTCTAGGTGAGACATAGGAGGAAGAAGAGGAGTTCCAGCTGCTTCTTCCTACTGAGGAAGAGCTTTCAAGATGGCGTTCACCTCCTCAGCAACGGCCGTCAACGCAAACTCAAACTGGTCCTGCAGGAAAGAGAGGAAAGAAAAGAAAGTGAAAAGGACTGTGGGTATACAACTCACAGGTTTGATTCCACTGCCAAAGAGCCCTTTAGCAAAAAGCTTTGGCTGGTGAACAAAATCCCACAGAAATACCACCTTTTCTCCGTGTTTCTAATTCTCACTCTTTTGTCTCCAGGTGAACTCTGAGTTGCTAAACAACTTATGTCCTCTGGCAAAGGATACACTGGACCATCCTTAACCAAATATACAAAGGATAAAATGGGGTCCACAATTCCTTGCAGCATAACATTTAAAGCGATATATCTTTCGGACGAAAACAGACAATCAACACGTCCGACAAGGGACGCAAATCGTCATGCATTTCAAACAATAGCACTTATAGGAATTAAAGTTCAATATACAATATATATAGTTCGATTAAAGGCAGTATACACTCCTTTTCGACCTTCACATAGCCTGTACATAACAACATGGTGAACAGGATGTCAGATATAGTTTTGGAGCCTTGCATTGCTCTACAAATGCCTTTTTTGAATGACTTAGACGTCCAATTTAGAAGACCTTTCCACGCTTATGACTGCATGTACAGTGTCATTACAGGACGAGGAAGACACACAACATCATCCCTCTTCAGAATCTGAAATGAAACCTGAGTGGCGCGGCTGGGACTCGAGGGGATCGATGAGAGAGGAGCAGCGTGACAGCCGTTTGCTCAGGAAACACGCTTTAATCAAGCCGGATCGATAGCACCAATGTTTTACACACATCCTGGCTCTCCTTTCTAATTATGTCCACAGACAGCCGGTAATTGAAGTTTCCAGACTGACCCGGCGTACCGTGAGACGGGGAAATATGTGAGGTTACTGTACAGTGTGTTTTTAATGAGTGTAGCATATCAAAAAGGACTTCAAACCTTAGAAAAGATGCAATATGTCTAAACCAGGGGGGTCAAACTCAAATACACAGTGGGCCAAAATAAAAAACGGGTACTAATCGAGGGCCGGACTGGTTCAATGTTTATAGCAGAACTTATTGAAATGAACTTGTTGCACATATTAAACCTGGAACTAACACAGCTTAAATGATTGCCTATAAAAACAACATTAAACATTAAATAATCAGCTGCATTCATTTCTTATGGCTCTATCTGCAGCTTTTCCAGAGTCATTTCTTATGAGTACATTTCCCCACAGGCCAACAACTGCTTCAAAACAACTATTCCCCTCAAAGAGAAAACTAAACATGCCCTGTTGTCCTGAGAGAGAAAGTGCAGAAGGAAACATCCATTAAACTCAGTGTGCTGCTCTGTGATGCTAGCTCAGATACTTGGCATCTCATCTCGGGTGCAAGGTCATCAATGTTTGGGGTCAGGCTCTGAGCTGAGGAGACCCTCAGGATGGAGTGAAGGTGTGCGTGCAATATACCGGCGGGCCAGATCTAATAGTAATTAGAAATTATCCTGCGGGCCGAAATGAAATCCACCAAGGGCCTGATTTGGCCCCCGGGCCTTGAGTTTGACACATGTGATCTAAACTAAAGCATCAATCTAAACCAAGCTGCTTTCAGTGTGTAATTGTGTGTCTTGTATTTTAAGTGTGTTTTTATATAAAAGAAAATACCCTGTTCATACTGTATAAAGTGTCTTTAAATACTCTGAAAATAAAATGTGTTATTGGTTGTTTTCGGGTAAGCTCTGAGGATGTGAGGTTACTGTACTGTTACTGTGTAATAAGTGTAGCATTTCAAAAATGACTTTTAAAACCATAACAAATTCTTAAAAATCTGTCGAAAGCACTCATCTAAGCCAAGCTGCTTTTAGTGTGAAATTGTGTATTTTGTATTTTAAGTGTGTTTTTATATAATAAAATACCCTGTTTATATAAAGTATCTTTAAATAAAATGTATTATTATTATAATTTTTATTATTAAGAAAATGTGTTGGAAAAAACTACAACATTTAAAATATATGTGTTTAACTTTCATTACCACAAATCTTCTATTTCCCAAAAATGAGCTCCATATCAATTTGATCTACTTTTTCTTTTACTATTTTTTTATTAAGTTAAAAGAACCTCAAAGCTCGGCCTCAGATAGTTTTACCTTTGGGAGGTTTGAGCAGGTTATCCCGGGACATTTGGTTCTCTACAGTACTCCTCTGTGATGTGTGCAGGGCTCGACTTTAATCCCTGCTGAATTACTTTTTTACAAATCGATTGATCTTGCCTGATGCGAAGGGATGAGCCGAAGAAAGAAAAAACCCCACATCAAATCCAGCTTTTCTCTCAACGGGGCGTAAAGAACACCAGCGAGGTTTCTGACTTTCAGATAAAATAAGGTTTTATGCAGAGGTCGGCGGTTTGAGCAACTTTGAAACCACTCAATAATAATAATAATGAAAAATATAAAAACATTAAAAAGATATATATTCATAAAATTATTGAAAAACATTATAAAAAATTATAAATAAAGAAATAATTAGTTAATTAAATAAAAAACAAAATTATACAAATACTTGTTTAACACACTTTAAAACAAGAGATATGAGTCAAATCTGCTATATTAACTGCATCGGCTTTCATGGCCCGTTTGACTCCAATTTATCTACATGAACAAACATATCCAGGTGTGTGTGTGTGTGTGTGTTTGTGTGTTACCTTGGTCTGAACCATTCCTGGCCTCTGGTCCCTCAGGTGCTCCAGAGTCGCTGCAATATCAATCTCCTTGGCACCTGTCACACACACAAAGAGAAACACACATGAAACGAGCAGCAAGATAATCCGGCTAACATCTGTCAGTCTGCTGTTTCATACAGACTCGCTTCAGAACACAAGATTACATTCATCCTCTCTGCACACACACACACACATGCACGCACGCACGCACGCACGCACACACACACACACACACACAGGTACGCACGCACGCACGCACGCACGCACGCACACACACACACACACACACACACACACACACACACACACACACACACACACACTAAGCTAAAGGTGGCTAATGTTGGGCTATAAAGGAACTACAGCACGGTCACATGACTTCACATATAGGGCGACTGTGGCTGCGAGGGAGTGCGGTCGTCTTTCAACCAGAAGGTTGTGGGTTCGATCCCAGCCCATGCAGTCAACATGTCGATGTATCCTTGGGCAAGATGCTTAACCCTGAGTTGCTCCCGATGGCATGGCCAACGGTGTGTGAATGTGTGTGCATGTTAGTGTCCTAACTGCTCTGTGTGAATGGGTGAAAGACATGTAGTATGTAAAGCGCTTTGAGGGGTCTTAAAGACTGGATAAAGCGCTATATAAGTACAGTCCATTTACCATTTACATCACCACCGCTAAGCTAAAGGCGGCTAATGTTGGGCTATGAAGGAACTACAGCACGGTCACATGACTTCACGTCACCACCGCTAAGCTAAAGGTGGCTAATGTTGGGCTATAAAGGAACTACAGCACGGTCACATGACTTCACGTCACCACCGCTAAGCTAAAGGTGGCTAATGTTGGGCTATAAAGGAACTACAGCACGGTCACATGACTTCACGTCACCACCGCTAAGCTAATGTTGGGCTATAAAGGAACTACAGCACGGTCACATGACTTCACGTCACCACCACTAAGCTAAAGGTGGCTAATGTTGGGCTATAAAGGAACTACAGCACGGTCACATGACTTCACGTCACCACCGCTAAGCTAAAGGTGGCTAATGTTGGGCTATAAAGGAACTACAGCACGGTCACATGACTTCACGTCACCACCGCTAAGCTAAAGGTGGCTAATGTTGGGCTATGAAGGAACTACAGCACGGTCACATGACTTCACGTCACCGCGGCTAATGTTGGGCGTGATGACGCTTAGTCGTCTCATTTAGACACTTATTAGCTACCTCTGTTTTTCGATTCAAATTATTTACAGATTTTAAATTGTTGAACAAAACATTCAAATGTCTTTGCTTTCTCTATGGTAAAAACAAGCCTTAACAGTTGGAGAGCTCTTAATTCAGACATATTTTGAAGGATTTTATGTTTTTCTTTACACAACTATTTATAAAGATACAATTATCAGTGCAATTGACTAATATTATCACGGTTACTATCATCTCTTTTAGTAAATGTAACATGTTTCCATATTAAATACTGTGAATGTTTAAAACATATAGAGGGTTTTTTTTCATCCAGAAATGAACATTTGCTGGTAAATGGTGTCTTTTTGTACATTTATTTGTCAAAGTGTCCTCAGAAATAACCTGAATAAAGTCTGAGGCTCTCTAAGGAGTGAAATAGGTGCAAATGGAAGAATAAAGGAAAGTGCCTTAAAAGCCTGAAAGAAACACTAATGCGTTTCAAGATGTAAGACTTGGCTTCTGAGGCTCTTATGTTAATGAGATTACTTTTTGAGCATTTCTGTCTGAGACAAACAACTGCTGGCAGAAAACTCCAACTAAAACTCACATTAAGATCATAATGTCATCATGTCCTCTCTTAGGTCACATTCACACCTAATAGTCACTTCTCAGCTGCGCACCAGACCACAGTTTGCTCCATCGTTTCATTTTTCAGAAGGTTCGGTTTTACACGGGCAAAACTCAAACGGACTATAAACTTTAAACACAAGTCATGTGCTCGGAAATGCTGTTCAACCATTGGTCAGACATTAAGGGGGTAAAACCGCAAATCCCGGCAATTTCTACCGGAGCCTCCGCCATGGAGCATCGGCACTTTCGGCAGGCTGTTCTCATGCTGCTGTTAATCTGGAGATCAACAGACACTAGCGGCCCGCGCATATGATTACATAATCAGACAACGTGCGATAAAAAACATTATAGCACAGAGAGACGTTCTGCAGCATATTGAGACCTCAGAAATCGGGAGCATTTCAAAACCACCGCGGGGGGGTGGTGGTGCTAGTGGATCGCCAGAGCTTTTATTAGATTAACATCTACAGCTGACCTTGCGGCCTGTAGCACATCCTTGATGGAGCATGTGTGGGCTGGACCTGTATTTTACAGGAAAGGAGTGAGCAGAGGGTCGAGTTGTCGATTCTTGTTCTGTTTTCTGTGACTATCTTCCTCACCCTCTCAGACTTTCAGTTGCGTGGCTACTGAAGAGACGCGCTACCATGGAAACCAAACAATGGTGTAGCTGTATTAAAGTCCGAGTGGAAACAGTCGTGAGTAAATCTGATTTGGTCAGAAATCGGGAGAAATGCGGGAGAAATATGACCCCGGGAGGAAACCGGGAGAGGGCTATGAAATCGGGAGTCTCCCGCGAAAATCGGGAGGGTTGGCAAGTATGTTCTGCAGTAAGGAGGAGGTTTCACCGACGGCAGGTGGCTCTGACTTTTATGCATAGTTTGATAGTTGTTTTTACTTTACACAACACTGTTCAACACTTCATTCTGCTTCACTCTTTCGCTAAAGATTTTGAAGATATCCGCGTTCTTGTGACACGTAAATACTACGCTTCCTGTGTTTTGGTGCGGACTGCGTTCACACCAGCGATGAACCGCTCCAGAGTTCACGAGCAAGCGCTCCGAGACCTCTTTTAGCGGACCAGAGTCCGGTTGTTTAGTTCACCTCAGAGGTCTCTGACTGCGTTCACACCGACCCACACGAACCGCACCAAGCGGCTAAACGCACCAGGGTTCGATTGAACCGGACTACAAGGCTGGTGTGAATGCGACCTTAGTTTAGTTTTTAGAGTATTCTATTATGTCCTCATGTCCTCTCTTAATGTGAAGACAACTAATGTCTACAGGTACACAAATATACATTTACAAAGGAGAAGAAACGCAGACAAAGGTAGGAGGTAAAATAGAGAGAACCAGCTTAAGACTGGGAAACAAAAGAGACACAATACAATTCCCGAAGAACAAGAGTAAAGTAAAGTAAAATGTAATTTGTTTTCCCCTCCTCCTCCTTCATCCCGAGGAAACAAAAAGCGCAGTAATGTTCTTTAGTCCTTTCTAGTGACAGATAATAACATTGCTTCTTCCTGGCTGCATCAAAACGAGAGAGTGAATGGTGGGAGAGGAGCGGCTCATTCACACCGTCTTCTTGTTCAGTTCAACACAATAGACTCCCCTTTAGCCAGGAAAGCTGCAACACGACGCTTTATGCTTTTCTTTCTTTTTAGGGAGGGCTTAACAAGCTGAGGGCCTTTGTGCTGGTTCTGAAAAACCTCAAAATGGAAGGTATATATAAGAAATACATAAAAAAGATTTCCGTCTTTGTGGGAAAACTCTCCCTTACTTGCACCATTTTGTCTTCTGCACCATTTATCATTTCCTTTATGTCTTCAGCAGTGGTGTAACTAAGTACATTTACTCAGTACTTATGTACAATTTAGAGGTACTTGTACTACTACTCCACGACAATTCAGAGGTACATCGTGTACTTTTACTCCACTGCATTTATTTAACACCTTTAGTTACTTTACAGATTTGGATTAATGATGTGAAATATAATCAACTCTTAAAACTAGACTTCCTTCAACGTCATGTTTTATCACACAATTTAGAATGTTGTTATATCGGGTACATACATTAACAAGGAGAAACAGGTTACGGTTTAATTCTTAAATTACATTAAAACATGAATATATGGCATAACAACTTCTGAATACACTGATGGACAATAAAGGTTATGACAAACACTTTCCACCATGAACTATATAGTTGAAAGTTGATGCACCATTGTGTCACTTGCATTATTTTATATATTTATATATTTCTTAGGTCTTAAAAGTGCATTTGACATATTGTATGTTGTATATTCAGGGTATATGCAGGAATCCTAAAGTCAAATGGTGCTGGCGAAGTTGATAGGGACTTGGCTTGGCAACTGGCAGGTCACCAGTTCAAGTCCCGGCAAGACCAAGTGCTACCGAGGTGTCCCCTACACTGCTCCCCGGGCGCCGTTCAAAATGGCAGCACACTGCTCTTAACACTAGGATGGGTCAAATGCAGAGAAACAATTTCCCGACGGGGATTAATAAAGTATATCAAATAAAAAAATGTAAGACCATTTTAAGACCTCATCGCCACTTGGAGTTTTAACCGGTTACATTGCATTACACACTTTACCTCACAGTTACTATATACAGTATTGATTGTCCTTCCTCCTTATCTTCCAACCATTTGCGGTATTTCTGGATCTTTAAGTATTTTTGGAACTTTAAGTATTTTTGGAATTTACGGTATTTTTGGAACTTTAAGTATATTTGGAACTTTAAGTATTTCTGGAACTTTAAGTATTTCTGGAACTTTAAGTATTTTTGGAGCTTTGGACCCTTTCCATACATTTTAAGACCTCATCGCCACTTTGAGTTCTAACCGGTTACCTTGGCGACACACTTGACCTCACATTGACTATATACATTATTGATTGTCCTTCCTCCTTATCTTCCAACCATTTGGACGCAGACTTGCATTTCCCCATAACGATGTTGCTTAGCAACCGGCGTAAACGGAGCTTCGCGCGCTATTAAGCAGTGAGCGTGCGATGTCCTGTTCAGATGACGTCAAACCCAACGGGATGCCATAAATAAACTACACAGAATCACACTACACACCTACGCCATGATTACATTCAGGCAGACTGTAGAACACAACCTCTTTGGACAATTTATATACTTATTGAAAACAAGCTACACAATCTAATACCTTGGAAAATGCCCTTTAATACTTTTTAATACCCTTAATTTTCGCTAAATTGATTGATCAACTTGTAATACTTTTTAAGACCCCGCTGACGCTGAGTTTTTGTTAAATACAACTAAAACCTACATGTAGGAAAACATTAGAACTTTCCCAGATTTCCCGAAAACGGTCCCTTGATGAGAGTTTGGATGCAAGAAAACTGAAGGAATGGTATAAAAACCATGGATTTATTTTATAATTCCCTCCCCTGCAACACCCTCGCTTTGGAGTGGAGGTCGAGGAGGAGGTATGGGGGGCTTTAGAAGAGGAGGAGGAGGGGGGGAGATATACAAAACAAAAAAGACAGGGCCCTTGAGGAGGAGAAAGAAACCCTGAAGGAGGCACAGCAGCTGGACCTGGGGAAAGAAAAAGAAACGGAGAGATGCTGGAAAGCTCTCCGGTACTCGATGGGTTTCATTGGATTCTTAAGATGAAAAGGAGGGGGCTTAACAGAGAGGAGGAGGAGGAGGAAGAGGAGGAGGAGGAGGAGGCTTTTTTAGAAAAGAATAAAACTAAAAACGTGAGAACGGCAGCAACACCTCCTCAACCCTGAAACACCGGCACCATCCTCGTCTGAATTTACAATGAATTCCTCAGGAGAAAAGGAGTGGGAATGGAGGGGAGGAAGAGGAGGGAAGAGGGGGAAGAAGAGGAGGAAGAGGGGGAGGAAGATGAGGAAGAGGGAAGGGTCTTTGATCAGGATGAAGGAAGCCTGCAAACCTGGGGGCCTCTCGCTTCTCAGGACGGACAAAAAGCTCCACAAAAAGAAGGGTGGAGAGCTGAGAGCAGCGGTGGAGCGGAGGAGGGACGAACAAAGGATCTTTTTTACATGATATGTAAACTCAGACGAGACTCAATAAATGGAGCTTTATCTGCAAATTAAACAGAAAGCATGCGTTTTGGATAGTGGATCATTTGAAGACGTATAGGAGTTGTTTTTAGGATGGATGTTCTTACTTAGACGGGACTGTGAGGCTTTAAGGAGTTTCGTCATGATAAATAATCCTGATGAATATTTGGAGTTTTAGGAGAAAGTCTCAGTTGCATGTCTTAGTTGCCAAGATATATTTTAAATAAATAAATACAATAAAATAATAATAAAAAAATGAAAGAAAATGGAATAAAACGTAAAAAAAAATACAAATAAAATAGAATTAAATGAGTTAAAAAGAAAAAGGAGAATTCCCTTAGTATAGAAACCATTTTGTAATGATTGAATCCAGAGAGATGCTGAGTTTTGGCTTGATGGTCGCAATGGAAGCTCAGGACCCCTTCAGAAGTACTCCGACTTTAACTCCCCTCATCGCTCCTGGACGTTGAGGAGGGGCACAGTTTGTGACGGGGGGGAAGACCCCTGATGCCCGACTGAACCTTTGATCCTGAATTAAAGACCCAGGAGCTCGTTCTGCTACAACACACACAGACACACACACAGACACACACACAGACACACACGCACACACACAAACACACACACACACACACACACACACACAACACACACACACACACACACACACACACACACACACACACACACACACACACACACACACCCCCACACACACACACACACACACACACACACACACACACACACACACACACACACACCATGTATACATAACTTCAGGGGACAATACATTGACTTACATGCATATCCTGGAGACTTATCCTAACCTTAACCATAACCAACACATGCCTCATGGGGACCTCCATGTTGTACCCATAAGGGAGGCGAGTCCCCAGACGTGACTGTGTAAACAGATGTAGGTCCCCACAAGTATAGTAATACTAGGCCACCCACACACCCACACACCCACACACACACACACACACACACACACACACAACACACACACACACACACACACACACACACACACACACACACACACACACACACACACACACACACACACACTGTGCAAACTCAAGTGGACAAAGCTTCAATTTTTACCTAATTTGGATTTATAATAAAGAAAAGTTGCAGAAATGATACCCTTTACTTTATTCCTCCTAGCATAAGAACGTTATATCTGTAACTGTCAGTATAACCTCCTCCAGCTTAAAAACCGACCTAATCACACAAACTGAAGAAGTAGAAGTCACTTGTTCCCACTTAAAAAACTGACACTTCATATAAATGTCATGTCATGAACTTCATTAAATATTCAGTCCCGAACATAATCACTGTTTCTGTTACATAACGCTGTGATTATAGTCATTCAAATGCACTTACAATGTGCGGCAGAGACTCGCTGTGTTGAGGAGTTTAAAATTATCTATTTTTCTCACCAGTTATTCCATCTCTTTGCTTTTCTTTACTTTATGTCTCATTTTCTTATCAAACCAGGTCACATTTCCTTATTTCTGGCAGTTTAAATGTGTTTTTCTGGGAGTGAAAACCCCTTAGTAAAGTGCAAAGCATCCACTGAGATAATAACACTGATACGTACCATAATTAATCAAACAGCTAACAATCAGAGTCATTTTCTCTGGCGGAGGCAACAGTGATTTTGTGATAATGGGACATATACGTCTTTACCTTTATTGAATTAAATCCCATCATTTTTAATGCAATCATCCTGCTTCTTTTATTAAATCAACTTTGATAATATGTCCTCATAACTCGGCTTTCAAAGCAACAGTATTTTAGATGTTGTTTTTGTACGTTGCTTCAAACTCACCTTTAGCCATCTTGTTGAGCACCATGTCGATCAGGACGTATGTTCCGCTTCTTCCAGAACCATCACTGTACGAGAGAGAGAGAGAGAGAGAGAGAGAGAGAGAGAGAGAGAGAGCGAGACAGAGAGAGAGAGAGAGAGAGAGAGAGATACACACTGTTATTGTGATTATTTATTTTATGTTTATTATTATTATACTTTCGTTTGATATCCATTAGTTATGTTTACCTACATTGTGTGTGTGTGCTGCCAAGCCACCATGCTTCCTGAATATTTAATTTTGATCAGTTCCTTAGTTATTTTCACACACACACACACACGTTTATTTCAACACACCTGGTGGCAGTAATTGAGTCCAATACCGCAATAGCAGAGTGTAAGAGGGTGTGTGTGCGTTTGTTCTAACCTGCGCTCACTCTGATCTCAGATGTGTGTGTGTGTGTGTGTGTGTGTGTGTGTGTGTGTGTGGCACAGGTTCCTACGACGTGATAAGATCTATCGTACGGCTGCACCTCGCCGGGATCATTACAAGGCGATCACAGATATGTGACGTGTGTGTGTCTTTATAGGTTGTATTTAAGTAACCTTCAGGTAAAAACCATCAACTGCAGGTTTGTTGAACTGGATGTTTCTAAACGTTATCTTCTAAGGTAGCTTCAGGATGATCCACAGAGACAGGTTTCATACCGCGGTGCAACCTGACAATTTAGCTGCGAAATCTACAGTTTCATCATCCAGGAAGAGCCATTACGACATATTAAATAATAGATCACTCAGTGGAGGAGTGGGCAGACGGGCGTAACGGCTTTCTGTTAGAGAAGTTATTCCTCTCCCCTCTAGTCCAATCATTACAGGATGTTTCCATGAACACATACAGTGGCAGGTCTACAGTTAATTATGTCCCTCTGGTCTGGAGTTATTTCCTCGTGTGGTTATGCAAATGTTATCACACACACACACACACACACACACACACACACACACACACACACACACACACACACACACACACACACACACACACACACACCCTCCTAAAAAACTAACAAAAGTCGAGGATGGGACGAAAGCAATTAATACGTTGTTGAGTTTTTGCCTCAAATTTGGAAGGAACGCTAAGGTGTCCATTTGTTGGTGTGTGTGTGTGTGTGGCCTAGCATTACTATCCTTGTGGGGACCTACATCTGCTTACACAGTCACATGTGGGGACTGGCTTCCCTTATGGGGACAACGTGGAGGGAATCATTAATTTTAGGGTGAAGACTTGGTTGGGGTTAGGGTTGACCCAAATCTGACTCCATACTTTAAGTATATCTTCATGCCAACACTTTAACTTGATTACAATTTTCACCCGTTTGCTCCAAAGGACACACTGCAAACGTAACTTTAAAGTTAACCTTCCTCCGTGAACAGTTAGTCAAATTAAATCAAAGTAAAATATGTGTCGTTATCAGAGCTTGTAAGCAATTAAATATTGAAGCAAAACGGAGTACAGAAACCACGAGGGATCTGGTCGAGTTCAGCGATGTTTGTCTGAGTGTTTGCTCATTAACAACATAAAAAAAATCCCATTTGTGTGTCAGAATAAACCTTTAATAACCCTGAATGTAAACTAGAGCTGCAATTAAGCAAATCAAAAGGGTTAAAGGCTAAATAAGTGTCAATGTTAACCCTCAAAAACACAAAAACACAAAACACAAAAACCATTAATCATCACCACATTTAATTTAACACCCTTTCAAACTGTACATATTGTATCAGACTACTGGTATACATGAAAAACTGCAGTACATATACAAAGAACAGACACTGAACATGTATTGTGTGCCAGGTGTGATCCATGTGGGGGGAGGGGCACATAAGAGCGGGAAATGTATCAAATTGTTCTGTGTGTGTGTGTGTGTGTCAGGTGTGATTCACATGGGGGATGGGCACATAAAGGGGGGGGGGACACACATCTAGAGTATGTGTGTGTGTGTGTGTGTGTTTTATCTGATCCGGATGGTTACTAATTCCTTTTCTTTATGGCGGTCATTTTTGCCGGGAACACCACAGGTGTTACAAAGTTGACTAAATCATCCAAAATGCAATGAAAGTGGTGATCAGCCATTGTATATGTTCAAATGTCTGCTGTGAAGAATATCATAAAGCCTTAATGCAATTGAACGTAAAACAAAAAAGTTATGATTGATGAAAGTAGTAAATCAGTCAGATTTGACCCGAAGACAACAGGAGGGTTAATCTAATTAGTCCTTTCTTCTCAAATCGTGCAGCCCTAGCTATGAAAACATATTAATAAAGTCAGATAAACACAGTCTAGTTGTGATAATACTTGCCTGCAGTGGACGATGATGGGACAGGAGCGTCCGCGGTAGCATTTGTTGACTTTCCTGTAAAGAAAACAGAACAGGAAAACTACACTTTAACATCACAGCTTCAGAAACACACAGAAAATCCTGTTTGTAGGCTTTTAAAATGTTTTGAATATATATTTTTAATTCAATGATTATGTAAAGCCAGTCAGGGATGTTCCTTAGGACTCTCGAGTATCTCAATAAGACGAATATAGTTGCACAACTTTGGGAATATCACAACAACATTTGATGTATTTGTGGTCTTTACCTGTTTTTAAAGACACATATCACTTACCTATACAATATTTAGACATAGTGTCTCATAATATAACTGTTTCTCAGTGCTACGTTCTTTTCTAACACCTTTTTTTAATGATAAGGAACATAAACCAGTGCATCAGCTGGCAAAATGAAGATTTACCTGATAACATTCACAACAAGCAATGGTAGAGACAGTCATAACGGTTATATATGGCACTTCTTATATGCTGATTAAATGTCCCTTTTATCATTTCTATTCCTTTTAACATACGTTTGAAATATTTAACCGCATTTCCTGTAGAATAAAATCATCTTCTTCCCGTTTGATGCCATACAAAAGAAAATACCACACATTTTGTTCAGCAACTCTTATACATTGACTGATGGATACAAATTGCTCCCAAGCTGTATCTAAAATGATGAAAATGAGCTTTTCCCAGAAGTCCTCACGTCTTATTTTGGGATTTTCCTCGGCGTTGCACACACACCCAAAACTATCATCTGTTGTTTTTCAAAGAATGAAATATATCCCGTTGCTGCTATTCAATATTCCACAGCACACCGACCGGATACATTTGCATTCCTATTTCTTTCATACATGGATGCAACAAAAAGAAAAAAAATGTGAGCGCTGCCTCAGAGAAAGAGTTGAAAGAGACACATCCTCTTTTTTTTAAGATGAGGTAAAGCTTTGAAACCGTATTCATCAAAATGCGAGAAGCAGAGACTTCAGAGCGAACGCAGCAGGAAATCATCTCTGATTCTATTTCATGGTGATAACTCCAAACATCTATGTGTGTGTGTGTGTGTGTGTGTGTGCGTGTAGCGCATTACTATACTTGTGGGGACCTAAATCTGTTTATACAGTCACGTGTGGGGACTCACCTCCCTTATGGGGACAAAATGGAGGTCCTCATGAGGGGAATCATTCATTTTAGGGTGAAGACTTGGTTAGGTTAGGGTAAGGGTTAGGCATGTGTTGGTTATGGTTAAGGTTAGGATAAGTCTCCTGGAAATGCATGTAAGTCAATGTAATGTCCCCTGAAGTGATGTATACATGGTATGTGTGTGTGTGTTCCATAATGAGTTCACTTTTTCTATCCTTGAACGTTTTTACGGTCGTTTAAATGAGTGAATGTTTTGGCCTTCATCTGCTTAAAGCCTCGTATTTACAGCTTTTACAAATTCATCCAGATTTGATTAGCCATGTGACAACAACTGAGCAACCTCGACTGCAACTGAGATTTAGAGGAGGTGGTTGGAAGGTCTAAAAAAAAAAAGCTAGTAAGTGGATGTAAACGTAAGAGTTTCTCTCTCGTGTTGATGTATCTTATATGTGCACGTGGGTTTGTTTACAGTTACATGCTTGTTTTGTTCAACCAAAGCAAATACAAATTGACGTTTTTGGGAGAAAAAAGATTGCAGATACTATTTCATGTACCCAATTCTTCTTGCTTTAGAAATAAATGAATGCTTGATGCACCAGTCAAAGGACGGTAGCAGCGATTTTCCATTTTCAATCTCCCTGCTTTTTCAGGTTTTGTCTGGTCGGGAAACCATTTTTAAAAACAATTTTTTAGAAGTAAAAAAAACCCCAGTGTGGGCGATGGATTTTTCTAAATGTGGACATTTTGTGAAAGCAGAAGTCGGGAAATCAAGAGAGAAGAGAGAGAGAGAGAGAGAGAGAGAGAGAGAGGAGAGAGAGAGAGAGAGAGAGAGAGAGAGAGAGGAGAGAGAGAGAGAGAGAGTGAGGGTGAGGGGAGAGGAAGACAAAAGCAAGAGAAGAAAGGGAACATGGCGAGGGAGGAAGAGGAGGCAATCAAGCAAACCATGAGCAAGCAAAAAAGGCGAGAAGTCATCTCAGGTCACTGGGCACAGCGAGGGGGGAGATCAAGGAGAGGGAGGAGAAAGGGAGGACAGTATCTGGGGAGGGAGGGAGGGTCCAACGAGGCCCCTTTGGTTGCAGAGTCACAGTCTCCAATGATCACTTTTGTGACTATGCAACTGGGCTCATATTACTAGCTGCAACATCACAAAAATGACACTGGCAACCGCTAGTTAGGAGGGGGAGGAGGAGAGAGAGGATTCGTAAGCGATGCTTCGGCTCAGATGGGAGTGAAAAAAACAGAAAAACTCAAGCGATATCCTCAAACCATGAAAACGGGGAGTAAGAAAAGAAGAGGGGTTGTTATTGTAGCATATCCACGGTGATGAAAGTGAGAAATATCTTCCTTCGTTGACCCCTGTGAGAAAATGTCCTGACTGGTGGTGTCGCACAATGACTGTGGTGCATTCAAGGACTTCTGGGTTGAAATGCAAAGTTATAGTCTGCTAATTCTAAGACCCTTAAGTTAACCTCCTTCACTTTCTTTCTGTTGAAGGTAGAGAAATGTCAGAGATCGAAACATTGCTTAAAATGACTGTGGTGCATTTAAGGACTTCTGGGTTGGATTTTAAAGATCCTTTGCCAACTCCACTGTGTTTTGTTCTTCTAACAATGTTTGCACTATCAATAATTGCTTTGGACAACCCTCAGAGAAACTTATGAGATGCAGATATAGATCGCAAGACTTAGAAATCGTGCAGAACATTTGTTCATTTTGGTTAGAAAAGTACATTTCCAGCTTTTATCACTCATAATTCTTGTGTCTAAATTGGATTTCTTTACAATCAAAGGCTTGTTTTGTTCAATGAAAGCCAAAACAAACAGCAGTAAGACTTGCTTTGAGCTGGGAATGTATGCTTTCCAAAGGTGTCTTTGAAAAATACTTTGTTTAAGGTCTTCTACAACCTCAATGCTTTCACGATTCCACATAAAAACCGGGCTATAGTATTTAATGTTCTTCAAATGAAAAGGCGTTCTAAGAAGTCTTTATCTCTCGGACAGAACAAGTAAGAGTTTCTTTGGAGAAATCACTGCGCTTCCTTCGTTGACCCCTGTGAGAAAAGGCAGTATTTCCTGACTGATGGTCACCAGACGCTTTTAAAATAGCTGCCCTCAGTCGTGATATTTCACCTAATTCATGTGCAACACCCGGCATATACTGTATATATATATATAAATAAATAGCAGACTCGGAGTCTATCGCTGGAGAAATCCACAGTGAATCAGAGGAAGAGAGTCTCCCATATGATAGGCAATACAGTATATCAGTTTTTAAAGAGGGTGGTGGCTATAAAATGCGCCGGAGATAAAGCTGAGTTCTCCAAATGCTTCCTGAATTACGCCGTTATCGCCTGAGAAATGCTCCGGATGTTTCAGGGTCTATAGATATTTCTGTGGTCGGGACACAAGGCAAAAACTCCGGAGTTATTACGCCGTGAGCGAGACACAAAGGCCACTCCAATCCTTTGTGGTGCGAGCAGGGGGCGAACAACCCCACGACCGTTACTTTAACCTCTTTGGGAGAAATGTCCCCAAAAAACGTGTCCACAAGCGGCACTCGAGGATTCGGTCGGACAAGTCTTTCATCTAAAGGCTTAACAAGTGGTGCATTCAAGGACTTCAAGGTTGAAATGCAAAGTGTTAGGTTTCTTATTCTTATTCTACAACCTTTAATTTAAGGTCCTTCACTTACTAGTTGGCTGTAGAGAAATGTCATAAAAAAACTTCATCTGTATTGTCTATATAATTTGTATCGCAGTATAAGTCCCTTTTGTGAGGGCAAAAAACAAAAAAAACAATAAAAAGTTGGTCACAAAAAAAAAAAAAACTTCATCTGTCAGAGATTGAAAATGCAGAGGTCGGAAGTAGTGGAGTACAAATACTTCGTTACTGTACTTAAGTACATTTTTCTGGTATCAGTACTTTACTCCACTACTTATTTTTCTGACGACTGTTTACTTTTACTTCTTACATTTTGAACCCAAATACCTGTACTTTCTACTTCTTACATGTTGAACTCAAATACCTGTACTTTCTACTTCTTACATGTTGAACCCAAATACCTGTACTTTCTACTTCTTACATGTTGAACTCAAATACCTGTACTTTTTACTTCTTACATGTTGAACACAAATACCTGTACTTTCTACTTCTTACATGTTGAACTCAAATACCTGTACTTTCTACTTCTTACATGTTGAACTCAAATACCTGTACTTTCTACTTCTTACATGTTGAACTCAAATACCTGTACTTTCTACTTCTCACATGTTGAACTCAAATACCTGTACTTTCTACTTCTCTCATTTTCCAAACAGCTGGTTCCTTTAGTCTGAATGTGTGTTTGATGCGTGATCATTATTCTTTAGAGTCATTGCGTGCCTATTGATTTGAACACGATCCGTGTATCCATCATTTCCTGGTCTTCTCTAAAGAAGAGGGACCAATGGAAACGTTGTCATGTTGCCGTTGTTCAGCATGGAAACATTCATTAGCTAACAATGACATTATTGTTCTATTAATATAAAGGGAGGTCAGGTACTCTTTAAAACAGCTGCTAGTTATGGGTACTTTTTACTGAAGGACACTTCAAAGCCTCTTTACTTTCACTTGAGTAAAGAAGTTTAGTCAGTACTTCTACTTTTACCAGAGTATTTTTAAACACAAGTATCTGTACTTCTACTTGAATAAATGTACTTTTGCCCTCTCTGGTAACGTGTATTTTCTCCCTTTCTTCAGGTGTTCCCTATACCTGCGGAAGTCCAGCAGCGTGCGGCTGGTCTCTGGAACGTTCTGGTTGAGCCAGGTGAGGAAGTGGAACTGAGTCACGGTCCGGGTCTCGTTGGTCTGCATGTTCTTCAGGTAGAAGCTACGAACCAGGAAGTCGTCGCACCAGATGTGTTCGGACACCAGGTTCACCTGCGAGGACACACGGATGGACAATACGCGTGAATGTAAAGAAAGTACGCTTGCTTAATTGAGAAGACAACAGTCAAAGCCTAAATTGAACTCATCAGTGGCGCAGGAATGAGTCCTAGACCGGGAAATGAGTCAGCATTCATGCGTTTCTGGGTTCCCTCGTTCTAGACTTTTAAAGTATGTTGTTTTTTTGGAGAACAAACACATATTTTGATAACAGCAGTCATTCCCAGAGCAGGAAGAGCATTTTGTGATGTTTTGGGAACTTTTACTGCGTTTTTTTTTGGCTATTATCAATGTTTTTTTGAACGTGTTAGTGGTTAGATTTCGAAAGGTTGGTGGTTAACACAAGTTTACGAGATTTTCCCATTTTCTTCTACCACATAAAACCTGTTAATGTTCCAAAACAAAATGGACAATCCCATTGGTTTGTAATCTTTGGTCCTCACTGAAACACTCTTTAATCCTACACAGTGTTATCTGTTTAATATGTCGAAATAAAAACACATCTTTCCATCACGAACCAAGATTGATAAATTGCTGTCTTGGGACATCACTTTATTAAAAGAGGATAACGGTTCAGGATTAAAAATCATATATTTTGGGCTGTGGGCTTCAGAAACATTTACGTACAACATTAAGTCATGTTTGTACTGAAAGGATTGTCTCACCTCGTAGATGTGGTACAGGTTGGACCCCTCGTCCGGCCAGTAGTGGTAGCACTGCTTCAGCCCGCTCTCCACCAGAGGAGTCAACATCACAATAACAACACAGCCGTTCTCCCAAACCATCTGCAGAGAGAAAACACACTTAGGAAATGCCTTAAATGCAACAAGACAGGAGCAACATCTGGAACTGAAGCTCTCCTTCGTTTAAAACCTGGCAGGTATTTAGAGGTTGATACAACAGTCTGAACTCTTATTTAGTTCACGCTATAAAAGACAGAGTAACCTACACACTAAATACACTTCAGAAAAGACATGCAGTTTCTTGAGGAGAACTCCAGATCTTCTCTTTAGATCTTCAGTGACCTTATGTTCTTTAAAAAGTTTGTTCAGAAGCTTTTTCCCGCGTCCGGGTTCTTGAAATTTGACTGAAGTTTAATTTGGAATAAGATCTCATTTAAAGCTGTCAACACTTTGCTAACAGGAAGCACTACATGTGTCCCCCCACATATTATAGATATCGGTCTAAATCAGTTTAAAGTTTGGCATTAAGAGTTGTCTATTTTGGAGGTGGGGTGCAAATGAAATCCAACCAAACACATCGAGACGTTTTAAACTTTGTTGAGAAACTACGAGCAGGTCAAGCATTCGGAACGCAGAGTAATTTCTCTCGAGGTTTTCCTTCCACAAAGTGAGACTCGGCACACACTCGTATATGTTTTCTCTGGAGATCCATTCGACTCTGATCAGAGGTAACAGTTAATGGAAGTCATAAAACAATGCGGCTCTCCTATCATCGCCTGAGATAACCAAGATGGTTTGGGTCAGTGGAGACTTCAAGACACATTCATTGCGTCTGGTTTTGAGTTACTGCTCCTCGACACACACACTTGCTTCCCTCATGCATCTGAAGGTGTGACGGTGCGTTTTTTTTTGTTGAGGAATGGTGTTAATTCTCCTCGGCTGACAGACTGCTGGGGCGACAAGTTCCCTCTTTTAATCCTTGCAGTTTGTGGAAATGCAAATTTAATTTAGACGGTTATTTATCAGCGAGGAAAAGTGCACACGGTGCTCTTTAGAAAGATTTAAAGTGCTTAAGTGCTTGTTGTGGAAACTGGACATTGCAGAATGTGTTCAGCAGAGGAGGAAGAAGTATTCAGATGTATTACTAAAGTATTAATACCACAGTCTAGAAATACTGTTACAAGTATTGCTATTTTCTACATAACACACACATTAATACACCCCTATTATACCCATGTTACACCCATGTTACACTGCTCTTACAACCATATAAGACTCATGTTATTCGACCCATATTAGACCGTAACTACACTCTTATTACACCCATATTGCACATGGACATCGCCTTTCGAATGACCATGTAAAGGTTAATATGAACCTGCAAAGTAACTAACGCAGTAGAATAAATGGAGAGGTGTAAAGAGCACAGTATTTGCTTCCAAAAGGTAGTGGAGTTGTGGAATAAACCTCCAAATAGTACTTAAGAACAGTACTTGAGTTAATATACTTAGCTAATGTCCGACACAGCCCTTCAGTACTCTGACACATTATGAAACACAGAGATTCAAATAAACCAGAGCCTGAGAATTCTCTGTTTTCTGCCAAGATGGTAACTGGCAGGACTGTGAAATGCAGCAAGGACTTGTTTGACGAGGGGACCTTTCCATTGCACACACACACACACACACACACACACATATATATAAACACACACACACACACTAGTCTATAGAAGGACACGTTGTTATAGGGGACATGAAACACTTTCTCCACTGTCTCAAATGTTAGATTGGATTAGAATCAGAGACCAGGGGATCGATAAGTTATTGTGGCCAGCATAGTGTGTGTGTGTGTGTGTGTGTGTGTGTGTGTGTGCGTGTGTGTGTGATGGCGAGGCAGAGATTAATAACGACACCCACAGAACAAGCTGCTCTCCCGTGTGGATCGCTGCACTAATAAAAAACGTCTAGCTCTTGTTTAAGAGAGGAAACGTATTGATTTCTTTTTTCGTGACTGTGTGTGTGTGTGTGTGTGTGTGTGTGTGTGTGTGTGTGTGTGTGTGTGTGTGTGTGTGTGTGTGTGTGTATGTGTGTGTGTGTGTGTGTGTGAGAGAGAGTGTGTGTGTTTTTTTACCTGCCAGAAATCAGCCACTGTGGAGGGCAGTGGGCCTTGAGTGGCGATGTAGGCCGGGTTCCTCGGATCATGATCCATCTGAGTGGAGAGTGGAGAGGAAGAAATGTTAGAAAAGATGATTGTAATATATTTTTCACACATTAAATACATATCAACCATATCAAATATTAAACCTGTGTTCATTATATTTAACACTGGATTTACTTTGGAATTAAGGATCTTTTTCCAGAGAGTCCTTGACAAAACAGCAGAGGACAAAATATAAAGAAGTCGGTGCAAGACGTGAGATTAAAACAGTGGCTCTAACACAGAGCATTAAATAAAACATTACATTTTAAAGCAGGTTCATCAGGAGTTCAGGCCAAGGAAGAAGGAGGAGAACTTTTTAAAGTATTGCTCTGGCTATTGCAGTGTTCCACTTATTTAAACTGTGAACATTTAAAGAGGTCTGAACATCAGCAGGAGAGGACTCTTTAAAGTAGAGACACTACATACTGATATACACCTGAACATCAGCAGGAGAGGACTCTTTAAAGTAGAGACGCTACATACTGATAAACACCTGAACATCAGCAGGAGAGGACTCTTTAAAGTAGAGACACTACATACTGATATACACCTGAACATCAGCAGGAGAGGACTCTTTAAAGTAGAGACACTACATACTGATATACACCTGAACATCAGCAGGAGAGGACTCTTTAAAGTAGAGACACTACATACTGATATACACCTGAACATCAGCAGGAGAGGACTCTTTAAAGTAGAGACACTACATACTGATATACACCTGAACATCAGCAGGAGAGGACTCTTTAAAGTAGAGACACTACATACTGATATACACCTGAACATCAGCAGGAGAGGACTCTTTAAAATAGAGACACTACATACTGATATACACCTGAACATCAGCAGGAGAGGACTCTTTAAAATAGAGACACTACATACTGATATACACCTGAACATCAGCAGGAGAGGACTCTTTAAAATAGAGACACTACATACTGATATACACCTGAACATCAGCAGGAGAGGACTCTTTAAAATAGAGACACTACATACTGATATACACCTGAACATCAGCAGGAGAGGACTCTTTAAAGTAGAGAGACTACATACTGATATACACCTGAACATCAGCAGGAGAGGACTCTTTAAAGTAGAGACACTACATACTGATATACACCTGAACATCAGCAAGAGAGGACTCTTTAAAGTAGAGACACTACATACTGATATACACCTGAACATCAGCAGGAGAGGACTCTTTAAAGTAGAGACACTACATACTGATATACACCTGAACATCAGCAGGAGAGGACTCTTTAAAGTAGAGACACTACATACTGATATACACCTGAACATCAGCAGGAGAGGACTCTTTAAAGTAGAGACACTACATACTGATATACACCTGAACATCAGCAGGAGAGGACTCTTTAAAGTAGAGACACTACATACTGATATACACCTGAACATCAGCAGGAGAGGACTCTTTAAAGTAGAGACACTACATACTGATATACACCTGAACATCAGCAGGAGAGGACTCTTTAAAGCAGAGACACTACATACTGATATACACCTGAACATCAGCAGGAGAGGACTCTTTAAAGTAGAGACACTACATACTGATATACACCTGAACATCAGCAGGAGAGGACTCTTTAAAGTAGAGACACTACATACTGATATACACCTGAACATGAACATAGGGTCCCTTTAAGCTACAGAAATGTCTCCCTTGTCTCATTATCTTTGCAAAAAGACTTGGTGGTTCATGATGAAGGTAAGAGTTTCTTCTTCCTTTAAGTTAATTGCAGAAGGAAGGCGTAGGAGACGAGAGCAAACGACAGGAGACCAACGTGAGGTGAGAGAGCGAAGACGTGACAGCCCTGCTTATTACGATGCAAATGTTAACGGTAAATGTAGTAATTGGGAAGACCGATTTAGCTGGAAGCAATTAGAGGGAAGACGGATGATTTCTGGGGCTCTGCACACAAAACTGCCTTTAAATGGTTTCTGTTTCCTTTTATGAATGCCAAACAATACTAATACACTTAAGATGAAGTGGCTGAGAGGGAGAAGTGGTGACATGTACCAGAGAGTGCATATTAAAACATTCAAAGATGGATTTTCTTGATGGAAAAATAAACGCTGAACAGTAAATTGAACCTGGTTGTCTTTTTCTACATGGCTTGAGTTCAATTTCACAAAATGGTACAGCATCATTTAAAATACTTTTACATAAAAAGTCTCACGGACAGATGAGTATGTTTCCTGTGCAAGAATGAGACTATGGATGAAGCAATAATATTTTACACCTAAATAAGTAGAAATACTAAATTGTACAAATACTCTGTAAAAACAGAAAAAAGTACTGCATTCAAAATTGTACTCAAGTTAAAGTATTGGCATGAAAATATACGTAAAGTACCATAAGTAAAAGTACTTGGCCCATTTCTGAATCATATATGTCACACACACACACACACACACACACACACACACACACACACACACACACACACACACACACACACACAACACACACACACACACACACACACACACACACACACACACACACACACACACACACACACACACACCACACACACACACACACACACACACACACACACACTCCCTCCTAAAAGAAGGGACAAAAGTCGAGGGTGTGACAAAAGCAATTATACGTTATTGAGTATTTGCCTCAAATTCGGAAGGAATGAAGAAGTCCATTTATGTGTGTGTGTGTGTGTGTGTGTGTGTGTGTGTGTGTGTGTGTGTGTGTGTGTGTGTGTGTGCGATCGCAACCTGTCTTTAATGTTTAATGTTAGCTCAAACTGTCACTACAGTCTGACACCTCTGTGAGGGTGACGTTCACATATTCTACTAACTTTCCTTTTAGTGCCACAAACTGCCATTACAGCGGGACTTTAGTTGTTTGAGCAGTAGTTACATCAAAACCCTTTAAATAAACCAAAAGTGTCTGAAATACAACTAAAAGGGGACTTAGAAAATGTTTTTAGGGTTTTAGGTGAGATCATTCTTGAGGAGATGAGGTCTTTCTGAAAGTTCCCAAAAACATTCAGAATTTTTTGTTGTGTTTTTAGGCATGGTAAAAAGTTTGAATGAAGTTTCAAAACCTTGGCACTTAAGTTAATCATCTTCAAATTCAAAATGCAGTAGTCCTCCTTGACCTACAAACATTTAAACTCATTTTCATTCATAAACTAATAGTGAAATGTCGTGTTGGAGGAGAATTAAGTCCTGTCTGATCCAACCATTCCTATTTCAGAAGGTATAGACCTAACTAAAGGACTCTACTCTACGTTGGGATTTAAACATGAGGCTTCGCTTCGTAAACCTATTATCCATCATATCTGCATATTCAATTAAACACAGATGTGAAATGTACCCTGATAAGTTATAAGTCCAGTTAACAAAAGAGAAACTATGGAGCAGTGAGTTCTCGGCCAGCCAGAGGTGAGTTGTTATAAAGAAAACAACATCAACTTTGTAAATAATACCTTTTAAAAGTGACTTGTTTGTCACGGCAAATTCAAAATGTAGTCGTCCTCATAACATCTTGACATATTTTCATTCATAAAATCTTAGTGAATTGTCGTGTTGGAGGAGTTTTGGTGTTAAAAGTCCTGTCTGATCAAACCATTCCTAGTTGAGAAGGTATAGACCAAACTAAATTACTCTGAACCACCGTGTTGGGATTTAAACATGAGGCTAAAGACCTCGCCTCGTAAAATAACCATCATCTCTGTAGCGTCCCTTGTTGGCTCTGCCTCCAGCTGCTGGTCGCAATTAAAACTCAGCAGGAGACATCCAGACACATATCTAATGAGAAGCTGAGCGTATAACATCCAGGAAGGCTGTGCAACGCTTTAATGATGCACTTTAGCTAATGTGTGTTAGCCTTACTTTAGCTAACACACACAGGAACATCTGGTGGATTAACTGACAACTGTTCATCCAGTTTGTGAGGGTCTTTTTCTCACCCGCTGTAGAGAAGTGGTTCTTGGATTGTTGAGCCTTTTCTACATCTGTGTTTGAGGTATTTCGCTGACGATAATTCACTACGAATCCTTCCGTGTAAGTTATTCACGTTACTGGGATTTTGGCAGGCACCTCGCAGGGAATTTAAATCAGTCATATGTGGGGTGGGGTGGGGCGGAGCGGCGCAGTGGGGTGCGTTTGATCATCAGATCAAGGGGGCGTTGGAGACTCCAGTTCGAAACCCGCGTCTGCCACCACTGCGTCAGGCCAGTGTCCTTGGGCAAGACACTTCACCCGAATTCGCTCCTGTGGGTCCACAGTACATGTATGATATTAATGTGTACTTGTAAAGCGCCTCGATGACTTCGAGGTGTGAAGATGGGCGGTGTGGCGCAGTGGGCTGTGCACTGCTCATCAGATCAAGGGGGCGAACCCCGCTGCGTCTGTAAAGATCTGTAAAGCGCTTTGGGTCATGGCAAAAGCGCTATAATAATTTAAATATAAGGAATTATTATTATTATTATATGAGGTACGTTTAAAGAAAAGGCATTGTGTTGTTTGATACAATTCTGCCATATGACAGATAACTATCTATTGGTTAGGAACTGGTGCCAAATAGTAATTTAATTGTAGTTAAAACTATAGACGTGACAAATATCAGCGAATAATAACTCACATTTTGAAAACTCGTATGTTTTTTATGGTCTAGAATTGCATCTTCTAAGGAAAACTCTAAGAGCTCTTCTGCAGAATGATGCTTTCAAATCCAAAGAAATTTAGGTATTTAAATGTTTGAATGGAGGTCAGTAACTATTAGTAGTACTATTGTTTTGTATATATTATAGTTACGATATAAGAATGTTATTTTGGTCGGGCAACCATGACATTGAATATGTTCTATCGTCAAATCTCAAACATCTCGTTTTTTCGCTTGTGGTAGAAATTGTTCCTTAAATAACCTCATTGTGTACCGTATGTTCACATACATTCATCCTATTATATATGTGTGTGTGTGTCTGTGTGTGTGTGTGTGTGTGGGAGGTGAGAATGTATGCACAGTGTTCACATTTGAGAGTGTGCTTAAACGTGTCCGCGTGGGTGTCTGCACTGAAGGTTTTATATTGTGTGTGTGTGTGTGAGTGAGGGGAGTATGCATGCTTGTGTGTGTAAGTGTGTACATTTCGGTGTCTTTTCATGTTCTCCTCAGTGTGAGAGATATACATGTGTGTGTGTGTGTCTGTGTGAGCGTGTGTGTTTATGTATTGTGCTTGCGTGGGTACATGTGTTCCAGCTGTTTTTTTGTATTAGTGCCATTGTTCCTGTGAAGTTTTGATTCCTTCTCAGCTTCTCTCACACACACACACACACACACACACACACACACACACACACACACACACACACACACACACACACACACACAACACACACACACACACACACACACACACCCCACACACACACACACACACACACACACACACACACCCCACACACACACACTCACACTTAGCCACTTCTTGGTGCGATGCCCAGATTTGAAATGCATAGCGTTTCTGTTGCTTTTAATGGAATACCAGTGTGTGTGCCTCGGGGGAAACGTACACACACTACTCCGACACTGGTTTCCAAATTGATACACTCCCTTACTGAATTCACACGGCGTCTCTTTAGTAGGGTGCGCAACTGAAAGTCTGAGAGGGTGAGGCAGATAGTCACAGAAAACAGAACAAGAATCGACAACTCGACCCTCTGCTCACTCCTTTCCTGTAAAATACAGGTCCAGAACACACCGTAACAGTAAACACAAACTAGCGACAAATTAGCATAACCCAAGGTCAAAAACAATCACTTCCCCAAGACCCCGCAGATCTATTTTCTTTTCGTGAACGAGAAGCGAGCAGAGAGAGAGAGTCGTGCGCATGTCCTTCCCCACGCCTTGTGTTTGCTGCGAAACCATCATTAGTATTCATGGAGCAGCACCTACACACTGCTGCTGGAGCTACGCAAGTGTAGCATCAAAACGTATATATTGTACGACGGGAGGCTGCCTTTGTTCCCGCGGGATGTTGGAGCCTGGCATAGTGTAGCGTTGGTGTGAAGAACAGAGTTAAAATGCAGAGGAGGGAAGTAGTGGAGTACAAATACTTTGTTACTGTACTTAAGTGCATTTTTCTGGTATCAGTACTTCACTCCATTACTTATTACTTTCTACTTCTTACATGTTGAACCCAAATACCTGTACTTTCTACTTCTTACATGTTGAACCCAAATACCTGTACTTTCTACTTCTTACATGTTGAACCCAAATACCTGTACTTTCTACTTCTTACATGTTGAACTCAAATACCTGTACTTTCTACTTCTTACATGTTGAACTCAAATACCTGTACTTTCTACTTCTTACATGTTGAACCCAAATACCTGTACTTTCTACTTCTTACATGTTGAACCCAAATACCTGTACTTTCTACTTCTTACATGTTGAACCCAAATACCTGTACTTTCTACTTCTTACATGTTGAACTCAAATACCTGTACTTTCTACTTCTTACATGTTGAACTCAAATACCTGTACTTTCTACTTCTTACATGTTGAACCCAAATACCTGTACTTTCTACTTCTTACATGTTGAACACAAATACCTGTACTTTCTACTTCTTACATGTTGAACCCAAATACCTGTACTTTCTACTTCTCACATGTTGAACACAAATACCTGTACTTTCTACTTCTTACATGTTGAACTCAAATACCTGTACTTTCTACTTCTTACATGTTGAACCCAAATACCTGTACTTTCTACTTCTTACACTTTGAACACAAATACCTGTACTTTCTACTTCTTACATGTTGAACTCAAATACCTGTACTTTCTACTTCTTACATGTTGAACACAAATACCTGTACTTTCTACTTCTTACATGTTGAACTCAAATACCTGTACTTTCTACTTCTTACATGTTGAACTCAAATACCTGTACTTTCTACTTCTTACATGTTGAACTCAAATACCTGTACTTTCTACTTCTTACATGTTGAACTCAAATACCTGTACTTTCTACTTCTTACATGTTGAACTCAAATACCTGTACTTTCTACTTCTTACATGTTGAACTCAAATACCTGTACTTTCTACTTCTTACATGTTGAACTCAAATACTTGTACTTTCTACTTCTCTCTCATTTTCCAAACAGCTGGTTCCTTTAGTCTGAATGTGTGTTTGATGCGTGATCATTATTCTTTAGAGTCATTGCGTGCCTATTGATTTGAACACGATCCGTGTATCCATCATTTCCTGGTCTTCTCTAAAGAAGAGGGACCAATGGAAACGTTGTCATGTTGCCGTTGTTCAGCATGGAAACATTCATTAGCTAACAATGACATTATTGTTCTATTAATATAAAGGGAGGTCAGGTACTCTTTAAAGCAGCTGCTAGTTATGGGTACTTTTTACTGAAGTACATTTCAAAGCCTTTACTTTGACTTGAGTAAAGAAGTTGAGTCAGTACTTCTACTTTCACCAGAGTATTTTTAAACACGAGTATCTGTACTTCTCCTTGAGTAAAGGATGTGTGTACTTTTGTACTTACGATGGGGCTGGCGTTGATGTAATCAGAGTTTCCTTGGCTGTTCTCCACCTTCAAGGGGATTCTGGAGTGATCATCTGGAACACAAACGGAGGAAATCAAGAAATGTTGTCTTCAAATCGCTCTAAGGAGTCTAAGGAGTGTACAGTTGCCACGTTACATGCATAGCAATTAGTTATTATTGGCGTAAATGTTGAGTATGAAGGACTCCCGCTGTAGTCTCAATATACTTCTGTACTTATAGTTGCTATTTTGAGTGCACAAGTGTCCAAATGAACCTGATTGTGCGTCACTACGGTCAAAAAGATGAGGGTGTAACGCTGGACACACTGAACGGCAGCCATTTTGTTATTGGGATAATTGAGCGATTTATTATGATTTTCCTCACAAACAATAACGTTGTTTCAAATGTTCTTACAATGCTCCGAATTCAAAGTATGGCAACATGTAGTGTAAGTGTAACGAATAAGACTGAAAGAAAATATTGAAGAAGGGCAATATACATATTGAGAAGAGACAGAAAACGAGAGGATATTGTTTTTTTTTATATATATATAAAACTGACTTTTTGAGTACATTTGGGGACATTCGGGAATATAAGATTGTAGTCAGCTGTTTTGTTGACTCTTGATGGTAGAAAGCATCAAGACAACTTCGGGAGGATTTGCCCTCCATCCTCTCAGGTCCACTTACACTGTTTTGGGGAATGTTACATCGTCCTATTCTGTACTTTCCTCCCTTAACGAGCGAGTTGCAGGAGAAGCCAGTGGTGCTTCAAATAGGAAGCACAATTCATTCCTCCTGACAAACTGCTTTCCCTGCTGACACCCTGGATTTCATTAAGCGTGGCCCGGTGCAGAGAACGGTCTATTTCCACAGAAGCTTACCACATTTTAATCATTGATGAGGTCGGTGCAGGAGAGCTTTAATAGAAAACTAATTTACAACCCTTCTGCTCGCTGCATCTGCTTCTGATAATAGCGTCCGGGCGGAGAGTATAAGGAGTGTTGTCGAGAAAAGCGATCATCAGGAGGAGAGTTTTGGTTCCTTTTAGACATAGGGGTTGTCTGCCCTCCATTAAAGAAGAGGATACAATGTTTTCTTATCGTGCTACCTGTGGTGCCAATGCTTTCAGAACCCTATGAAGTAGAGCCCTGGTTGACTGGTAATATAATCTCCTGTGCATTGCATACTGACATTTAGAAATCCAGTTTCACAGAGTCTCAATAAAGTCAACTTACACAATTATACGTCATTATGATAAAGAAATGATCATATTTGTTGAGTTTTTGCAGACATGTAAACCAAAGAATGTTTTGGACAAACTTAAAATGTACTTTAAGCGTTTATTTTCTTACCAAAAAAGAACTGCCTAATCTGTAATTAATGTTGTTTTATATATTTTAAGTGTGTTATTTTTATGAATGTTTACTCTGTAAAGTGTCTTTGAGTTTCTAGACAAGCGCTATGATTACCTATGTATCTTTTAATCTTTGATAATGGCTTTAGTAACACAATCAGATTCAGATCAGCTGATACGTTGTGGTGCGAGTACTGATATTTTTGTGCTGATTTCCAACTTGTCTTCTTCATGATAAGAAACACAAAGCATGACCAATCTGAGCCCTTACAGTAACTGTGGATGCAGTAAGGCAGCAGTGAAGCAGTATTTATGTATTTTGGATAATGATTATTCAAACTGCTCTGGTCAAAAGCAAGGGAGAAGAGAAATCTGTTGTAGTAACCAAAGATATGAACACATCACTCTCTAAATGCTAATGTACACTTGACTGCTACTCAGATAGACCCTAAGAAATGAATCCAGACTGAGAGACTTCATGTCTTACATGCTACGACGGCAGAGACGCAGTATTTCTTTTGGATAACGATAAGTAAAACTTCTCTTTTCATTGCATGGTAAGAACAAAAAGTAAGGGAGAAGTTCACAGATTGACACCAATCAGTACAGAAGATATGTCTGCATTACTATCTAAATGCTAATGTGTAATGACTCTTAACTTCTTAACAGATAGACACTAAGAAAACAATCCAAACTGAGAGACTTCATGTCTTCGTTGTATTTGCTGTAAAGTGTCTCTACTGTAGGCTATTTTTATTATATGTACAGCACTTTGGCTCCACCAAAAATCGTTTATAAATGTGCTATATAAGTAAGATTTGATTTGTCTTACATGCTACCACAGCGGAGGAGCGGTTCTTCTTGGTGTTCCCCTCCTTCAGACCCACGGTGCAGGCGTTGGGCTCGGCCTGATACGCACACAGAGCCTCCCACTCCTTCGCCAGGCGGTCCTTATTCTTCATGTGGTCCTCCATGTAGGACTGAGGGAGGAGAAGAGAGAGAGGAGGTGGTGAGGAGAACTTCTGGAGACCATCTACTCCTGTTTCTTTACAAAGACCTACTTTAATGCAATTATTATCGACGTTTTGTGTCTTTTTATTCATCTCATGTCATTGTCTACCTAAAGAACCAGATAAACAGGATGTTCTCTAAGGGAAGAGGGTTTTAATTGATTTGTGAACCGCACAATTTCACATATTTCAGCCTGTGGTATCACCTTTAAGATGATGAACGTCAAGTATGTTTAACTTAAAGATTTAGTAGGAAGTCTGTGTTTTGTTGCTTATGGTAAAATGCATGTTGTGCATGTTATATGAGATGCCTGTCCGTTCTTGCATGACTTTAAAGATGACATTATTCATAGGCTTTATGTGTCATTATGCTCATCCAATGATGCAACATACGTAATCCTAATAGTTCAGTAAAATAGATGAAATGATGAAATCTCTTTTGACTATCCGTTCCACTCACTCTGCTTCTTTACGAACAATGACCTGGACATATTAAACCATGAATAGCGTCCTAAATGCATGTCTTCATTATTTCATAATTTGCAGTTCTTATCAGTCCATCTTCTCTCTACCTGAAATACCAGACGTACCATTATAGGTTTTCATAATCAAGGAAGACACTGTGACTTTGATTAACTGTCTGCTAATGAACCTGGCATATCGAATTCATTCTTGCTGAAGTTGTTTGGAGGAAAATGTACCGAGCTCGAGCGGCTAGTGTGAGATAATGAAGCTTGTTTCTTCTCGTTAGCAAATCTTAAAAATAAGGCATTTTACAAACAAATGACGGTCAGAGAAAAAGCTTTGAGCCTCATTTCAAAGACTTTTTTGTAGCTCTACGGACTTTAAGACTGACTAGTAACTACTGTGTAAAGAATCACGTGGGAATCAGATTTGTATTTGTTTCGATGTGAAATCAGGACATAAAGCAATAATGAATCATATCAGCTTTGAATGGGCCTTATAGTTCAATCCAATGTATCCCAATAATACTTAATTGATGGGTAGACATGAAATTGTGACATGAGCTCTATTGTCTAATCATTTCTAATCAAAGTAGCTCTGTTAAAATCTTGTTTTTTAAAAGCTGGCACCAAATATGGATCGTTTAGTAATGGATGAGGGTCGAAAGGAGCCTGTGTGGATCTTTAAATGGCTCCGAGATGATTTATGGTGGCAGTAACAAATGGGGCTGATCTTAATCAGAATTAGCTTCCGAGAAAAAGCCCTTAATGGCTTTCTGCTAAAATGAGAGGAGTTTGTTAAAAATGGAAGGCCAGACTCCCGGCCCGGCGGAAGATAACGGGAAAAGTTTCTCGATTGAATGCAGATGAGGTTTTATAATAACTAAAGATGCAGCAGGTCGGCTTTGTTCTGTTGTTTGTTAGTCGTTTACGGAGCTTAACAGGCTCAGTGTCGAACAGCGGGCTTTATATCTTCACAAGAGCATTGTGTATGGTTGACAACACACACACACACACACACACACACACACACACACACACACACACACACACACACACACACACACACACACACACACACACACACACACACACACACACACACACAAAGGAAATGCACATACACACGTTTGAAGTACAATCACACATAAAGGTTTTTATAAGGTTACATACACAAACACAGCGAGTCCGCCCACACGGGCTCACAGATTTAGACTTTAAAACACACACAGCAAACACACACACACACACACACACACACACACACACACACACACACACACACACACACACACACACACACACACACACACACACACACACACACACACACACACACACACACACACACACACACACACACACACACACACACACACACACACACACACACACACACACACACACACACACACATACATTCAAAAAGCGTAAGCTAAATGAAATGTAAAAGCGTAATTTAATGATAAAAAAACAAAACAACAAGCATACACACTATCACACAAACACAAGAATGAAGTACACACACATATACAGTCAGTGCACAGAAAACACACACTCAACTACACACACACACACACATACCAGGGAAAGACCTCACACTATAAGAAGACCCTACATGCATTCAAAGTACAGACACATACTGACACACACACATTCTGAAAAATAAGTATATATATATGATCAAAGAAAAACATGTATCACACGAACACACACCATTCAGTAGATACAAGAAGATGAACAGTCTTACAGAACACACACACACGCACACACACACACTCTCTCTAATGCCACAGTAATAGGGTTTCGAGGCTGTGTAAAGGGATTACTGCAATCCAATCAGGAGGTGCTGAGATCACCATGTGTCGTCCAAACACTGAATAATCCCCTTACTGCTGAGGGGGGGGGGGGGGGGGGGGGGGCTTACAGCTGCTAAAGGTGCTCAATAAATAAAAAGAAATAAGACTCTTCATCCATTGTGGCTCTGGCGCACCTGTGGAAACTGCAGCAGTGAAGAAGGAGGTGATGTAATGCGTCAAAAGCGACTAAAAGGGAAAGTGGGATTCTGAGCCGAGAGATAAATGTATCAAGTGTTCAGACCTCATCACTGTTTCGATTCTACACTACATTTCCCAGAATGCACCTGTTTGTCTAACTGAACGAGTGTTAATGACGCTTGTTGTTGCTGCTAGCGTGTTTTAGAGAATTGTGTGCATGTAAATGGTCTGCAAACGTTAAAATAGAGGCATACATGACAACAATAAAACCGAAAATGAGCATATGTCCACTTTCAAGAACATACAACTTCTCATTCTGTATTTAGTTTCTTTTTTCTATTTGCTAATATTCATTTTCTTAGGAAATAAGGCACCTTAACGTGAGACATGAGAATATTAGCTCGTGACGCCCAGTATGATTGAATTAGGATTTAAGCTACAAAATATTTAATATACCATTTAATGTTTCATGCTATATATTTAAATCAAAAAACCCCTAAAAGTGTCTTGTGTTTCCTGAACAAGTCGGTTATTCTAACAACACATTAGTTCTAGTTTTGTATGATCAAAAATATTGCTCATTTTTCTACATCGTGTAACCAATCTTCATCAATCACTCTGCGTCCATCCATCACTTCCTGTCCTACTTTTATTTAAACGCTTACATCATCCTGACACACCAGTCTAACTCCTCCACGGCTGAATGCTTTTTCCTCCTCGTCAAAGTACATCTAGAGCAATTTTAAGAAGCATTTCCTGAAGCCTGCCGTACCAAAAGCACCACAACAAATTCCCAACTCAGTTAATCTCACCGGAGTCTCTCTCTGCAGGATAATCTGTAACACTTACTGAAGCGGCAACAAAAGACAAGATAATGTGCTTTATATACAGAGTCGACTAATCCTCTTAAGACACAAGCAGAGAGGATGTAGAAGAAGGGGGGAGGGGTTGCTCCCATGGGACAAAGTAATACATTAAGATAAGATGGTGAAAGCTGTTTCTCCTCAAATTAAAATCAGTGGGTGGAGGATGACAGGGAATCTGCTCGGAAAGGCAATCATTGTTTTCTTTTAGTGGAGGAGGCGCCGAGATTTTTTATTAATTGTTCAACAGTTGCCTCACATGGCGGCGCCAAGCTCCACTCACTTTGTGATGGATTTGCTCTCTTGCTGTGACGGAGCTCCGGAGAAAAAAAATGTCTCGAAAATGTCGACTGGGTCTCTTTTCTGTTGCCGTTAAACTCTGCTCAGTCTCTAGTTGATGTCATGATGTGAATCTAAAAAGTGACAGCTAGACATGCAAAAGGGAAATAAGAGCAGTATGAAAAAGGTAATGTTTGCTCTTATTGAAAGAGAAAAGAAAGAGACGAAGGAAAGGGTCAAGTCCTGCTCAAAGTCAATGTTTTTTTTAATGTGTATTTGGTTGTTAGTGTGAAATACGAGATTTCAACATTTTGTTCTACGACTTAAAACACGAGGTTCCACACAAGTGTCTAAATGAGACGACTAAACGACATCACGCCCAACATTAGCCTCCTTTAGCTTAGCGGTGGTGTCGTGAAGTCATGTGACCGTGCTGTAGTTCCTTTATAGCCCAACATTAGCCTCCTTTAGCTTAGCGGTGGTGTCGTGAAGTCATGTGACCGTGCTGTAGTTCCTTTATAGCCCAACATTAGCCGCCTTTAGCTTAGCGGTGGTGACGTGAAGTCATGTGACCATGCTGTAGTTCCTTTATAGCCAAACATTAGCCGCCTTTAGCTTAGCGGTGGTGACGTCAAGTCATGTGACCGAGCAGTAGTTCCTTTATAGCCCAACATTAGCCGCCTTTAGCTTAGCGGTGGTGACGTGAAGTCATGTGACCGTGCTGTAGTTCCTTTATAGCCCAACATTAGCCGCCTTTAGCTTAGCGGTGGTGACGTGAAGTCATGTGACCGTGCTGTAGTTCCTTTATAGCCCAACATTAGCCACCTTTAGCTTAGCGGTGGTGACATGAAGTCATGTGACCGTGCTGTAGTTCCTTTATAAACAGTGTTTAGCTGCAGTTTGCTTCACTATGTGTGGAGCTGTCCAAGGCGCTGAAACACACCAACAGCTGTATCCATTACATAATCCCATTTCTCTTCCTTCACAGCAGTAACTGCTAACATTAAAAGGAGAGAAGGGGAGTTCACAGCTCCCTCACATTAACTACAGATCACACATTATCACTTGATGTGTTGATGAGATCTAGACTCCTCTCAGCTCCCTCCATGGAATACAAACATGCAGTTAAATGTGCCGACAACTTCTCATCAGCAGGAAGACAGCTAATGTGCATTTAGAAGGTTTTAATGGTATTAAACAGTCAAGCAGTTGTGTGGGGTAGGCTATGTGTATTATCCTTATATTTAATGGACCTTTTCACAGACTCTCTGCTGAGTCTCTTGTGTAGCAGAGTAACATCTAAATGTGTTTTTTATCTGACTTTCCTGCATGAGGACCCCAGTTTATGTTGGTGTTAGGTCATTTAA